ATTTACAAGTTTCTATCTCCACCTTAGGATTCGAGTTACTCGCTTCCGGTTCGGCGTTAATAACAAACTTGTCAGAGGCAAATTCCAGTCGTATTCTCATAGACACATTGTCTAAAAGATACATATCCATTGATGCTATATCTAACAATAACGGAGCCATAAAATGAAATCCATGAGTCTTAACCTCGCTCATAGCAGATTTTTTTGCGCACTAGCATTCGTAATGCTAGAACTATCATAATAATACATATTTCTTCCTAAAGTTTTTTCAGCGAAGGAGACATACCCGTTTCTAAGCGAACATAGGACGAAAAGTTATACAGAGGATTTTGTTCTACTTGTTGACCATTAAAATAAACCGACACAGATTTAATTAGCGAGTGCATAGCAGAGTTGCACAACACAGCATGATCAGCTTCACCCAGCGAGGTGCATCTCCTTTCTTCAGATTACCCTTAATCTCCAGAACCAATCTTGACAGGTCAATATAACAATTCTGCCCGGCAGGCCATCTAAATTCTGCATAATTATCTGTAACAGACCCATTTATCCCTGCATTAAAAGGCAGGACGTCGACTTCACATCTGTCTTCAATCCCTGATTCAACCATACGTAGCCTATTCGACCTGGGAAACATATCGCTTACCCCGGCCACATAAGACGATAATGGCGTCTTGTACTGATTCATGATTGATAATATTGAATAACAATGATAATATCACAATCTGTATCTCTATATTATTATTGCGCACAGCGGCAAGGCGAGACCGTAACTGACTAAGCCAAAGAAAAACATCTTTTTTATAGGTTGAACAACTTGGTCGAATCGTTAATCTTTTCACTCTTTTTCGTTTTCTACGCACCTCCTCCTCCCCCTCTCATTGCTCTCGCCAATGTGTTTGACAGCCTCCACTCCTCTCTTTTTCATAGAAGACCTCAAGTTAGTATTCCCCTGTCTCATATCATCAATAACACCAGATCCAAAATCGAGTAATGCTGGTTTAACAAGCTTAGAAACAAATGGAATTAATCTCTTGCCAATATTTCCGAGAAAAGATAATAATCCGGCGCCTCTTCTGTAATGGTCATAAGACTTATATACGCTAATGTCCCCGACGCCCCCTCCTCGAAACTGTTTAATCTGCGATTCCGGTTGTTCAAATATTACCATGAATTCCTCGGTGGTGGGAGGGACAAAGGGTGCTCTTACATACATGGCGGAAATCAAAATGGTATCTATCTTCGCTATGCATAAAGCAAACACACCAGGACGACGTTCTAATGTAAAATAAGCAAAGATATGCATGTGCTGTCTTTATATACGGGCAGACTTTACCGAGATCTTATGTGCAATATAAGCGTAATAGAACGTCCTTCCTCGAAAACTATTGGATAACCATTCTGATCTGTAATGCGCACCCCCACAGAATTTAATGTCTTATTTAAGAGCTGTTTATAAAGCGTGGGTGTATACCCCTTTGTACTCGAACCTTGCAAAGCAAATGCGTCTAAGATGTTTACCTGCTGTCCTGCAAATCGACAAGGAACAACAATGTCTGAATACACATAAATAAAGTCCACACCGCCATCATTTCTCGGGGCCTCATACTTACATTCTGATTATATAATAACCATTTATAATCAACAGACACTGTGCGAGGTACATAATAGCGATATATTTTTTTTCGCTAAACCCTAATATGTGCGCCAGACGAGGCGAGAAGCGAACAGCCATATCGGGATGACAGCGTGCTTCCCTCCCATCGCCCACTGCGTGAACGATAATTTCTACGCGAACGCGCTCTGTTTCCCAGTCATAGATAAGAAGTCTCCCCTGCGGCATATATTTTTGAATTGCATCCACGCCTAATATCGGTGCAATTTGTTCCGTTATATCTTTATTAATCATATCTATCATAATTTTTGGTTCTCTCGCATGACCTAGCATGCTAAATTTCGGGACGTACTTAAACATGTCAATCATAATTGGGTGAGCACTGTTATCACAAACACTAATAAACTGAATACTAAAATCATTATCATTTGCTATGATGCTGTAGTAATTTTTGGGATGCAAATAATTAACCAGCGCCACCTCATAGTCCATGGAAGGATCCAACATTAGGAGCGAAATGACGTTTTCAAACGCATAGGAAGTGTTGTGTGCAAAAACATCTTTCGATGCAGTACTGGTAATATATATGTACTGATTGTCAGTCTCCATGGTGGAAGTTGATGACAGACTGAGAGTTGCATCAATAATTTCACCCTTTATAACAAAGATGTAAAGGATAATAAGACTTAAGGAGTAATTCATAACCTTATTTTATTAAAGATATATATATATATATATAAATCAAACAAGTACAAATGCCACAGGAGAACATGAGATATTAATGATCATTTTCCAGCTGTCTCGGTAGCTTCGATGTCCGCTTCTATTCGCAGGTAAATTCACCGTCTCCGCATCATCTTCATTATACCTGGGTCGTTTGTTTCTAATGTCCGGCTCAGGCAAAAGGAGAGGACTCGCGCACAGCAGCGAAACAGATATCTTCAAAGGCATACACCGCGCTGCAAAGTCTTGTAAAGCTCAATGTATGCATGGCTCCAACTGCCTCCTTCCACTTCAACTGGAAATAAGATCTCCCAAATATTCATCTCTTGAAGCTGATTAAACAATGAATCGAGACATTCACCCAAATTTCTTAGTCGGTTCTCCGATCCGTCACACGCCAATCCATCAACATAATGTCTATCCATACTCGACTTTAATTGTTTCATGGCAATTTCATTATTTTCCAGGGCTCTCCCGGGACCAAAGTGGGCAACGAGATAGATAATTACAGGCCCATCTCTCCCTGTTTCACACTAACGACCCCGGTAGCACATCTGTCAGCTACAATAGCCCTTGAGGTAGAAAATAACCGCCTTTTTGATCTGTAGTAATCAGCATATGCATATTCTTTTTCCAATATGCCCGATGTAGCGTAAGCAGTCTTTCCACATGCATTAGCAATGACGCATACGGCGGTGTCTTTACGCAACTCATGCTGGAGAATACCTCCTTTTCTAATCAACAGGGGGTATAGATAATTCGGGAGATAATCCTCGCGAGGTGACCTCGCACTGACAGAAGGGCTTCCATTAGCGGTCGTTCTTCCTCCATCTCTTCATTAATCATCTCTCTGTAGCGCCTGACAAATTGAGGAACGGCAACAACAGTAGCAGGGCGCTGACGTGGAGACACTTCCTCGGCCATCTTCTTGCGCAATCGAGGCAGTAGTATAACTCATCACCGCTCGTATCCTCGCTTTATACCCATAGGGTCCTGTCGTTACTCGCTCATGCATGTCAGCACCCCGCCCACTTAATGCGTTACAATCATCTGCGCAGCTTTGTACACAATCGATAACCCATTTCAAAGGCAATAGACTGTTGATTGTATAAACTGGCGAGCCTGCGATATTTTGAAATCGTGCGTAATGCTTCTTCCTGCGGGGCATGCTTTAAATTTTCTACAGCATCATCAACTTCTTGCTGGTAGACTTGTTCAGAGTGGTTTGCAAGAAAGGCTCGGTATGTCTCCCACAATGACACAACAATATCGTGTTTGTACTGAGCTCGATAAAATTTTATCACCTCTCTTCGAAGCTCACTACCTAGAACTTTGAATGACACATTTTTTCATCGTCGCTGCTGGTGTTGCAGTTGTTGGACGCACTGCTTGTGCTCGCGCGCGAGGACGCGTTGCTGAAGAGTTCTCCGTTCTCACTCATATTTATGCCGTTATTGCGTTTTACACACGCTTCTGATTATAGAATCGCCGGTTTTATCCTCTCTCGAGACCATTAATAGGAGTTCCAACGCATCTTACTCTGTGCAGACATAAGGGCGGACATTGGCTTAACTTTTACATTCCCACCTGCCTTATGAACACCTGTGAGATACCGCATAGCCGCTGGACTGCGCATATAATCATATGGTAATGGCGCAAAGTTATGTAATATTTTCAAAAGTTCCTTTTCTTTTACAGAAAACGAGTGCGATGATGAGGATGCAAAATACTTGATAACATCGAGTATATTTAACCCTGTTATAGGAGATTGTATCTGACCTAATTCGTCCCACCGAATTAAAGACTGCTTACGGTAAAATTCCAAGAGATTTTGCATAATCTTGCTGATTTGTTTTGAAGAAAATTCCTACCAAGTGTTCTAATGAGGGATTTATCGGTGTATTCTGATTGTTGCCAGGGATTGCTTTTTCAAGCCTTTGCAGAGCTGCAGAGGGAACTGCATTCTTTTTTTGTTTATTTTCTTGCGAAAAGTAGAGCACGGGATAATTAGCGAGCCCCGAGCCGCCCCCGCGTCTATTTCCGCGCAGACATCGCGACAACACGTGCGCTCGCTTCCGCCGCGCCCCCGCGCGCCCGCTGCGCCCGCTGCACCCGCCGCCGCTATGACAGCTGTCGTTCGCGTGCCCCCCATTTATTGCGGTATTTTTAGCTGTCATAATGATATCCGAAGGCGATTCTAATATGTTCTTGTTGACACCATCATTAATCTTGTTAGTATCATTACCGTTGGGGGTGAGGTCAGAGACCAGGTGGGTCAGATGTCGGTCGACCGTGGACTTTGGAACAAGACAATACTCTTTCATATTTCTAATCAAATTAAAGATGTAAATGCATTTACAGCAAGCGGGAGTAGAATGGATAAAATATTTCCCCCAGTGCGAGAAGAGAGAATTTTTTTCTTCTTTTTAAGAGACGTTTTCTTCAGAGACACTTCCTTGATAGCTTGCCGATATCGTTTCAATTTCTTAATAATACTTTTTTTCCGTGGTTAAGTTTTTCCTTAAGAAATTTGAAAAAACTTTGGCAATGCAACTGATCTGCTGTTTATCCAGCTGTAATATAAAGCCCGAACGTCGTTTTGGCTTTAGCGAACAGATAAACGATAGTACATCAACAAATCGAGGTGTGAGGGGCTGCCTTGTCATGGTGCAGGCTGCATGTCATCAATCGTAATGTATGAATTGAATTTGTCGGGATATCCGATCCAGCGAACAAGATATTCTCTCTGCTTTTTATTTCTGTTCCACCTCGATGACAGGATCTTGTACGGGTAAACACTTGGCAGTGATGTCGGGACGAGCTCCTCTCGATAAAACAAACCTTGGACTTCTTCGCCGCTTAAATCTTCCAGATAATACCCGACTATGTTCTGACGATTGTCAATCTGTCGAATTTTAATATCTCCTCCCTATTTTGTATTTCATATCCCTTGCGAAATGCGTCGGTACGAGAGCGCGCTGCGATGCGCACAGTGTCTCCAACCTTTATATTCTGATTGCTAGCATGCGATCGGTCTTTTTTTATATGCACATTCAATGAATGAGCATACATTTGAAGAAAGAGACGTTGACACTGCGCCCGCGTGTAATGGCGGTGCACGTCCAGTGGCGCGGCGCCCTTCAAACCCGCGTGCGCGCGCTCATTATAGACTAAAACGATATCCGGGAGAACGTCGATATACCTCAGCGTATCTTTTAAGGTTAAATATTTATATATGCGTTCCTTGAGGGTTCTGATGTGTCTCTCTGCAATGCTAGCCTTTATTTCCTTCGAATGCGTGGTATACCACTGCATCTTATGTTCGCGCAGTAAGCCGTTCACTGTATTATTTACAAACTCTCGCCCTGCATCGGTGAAGAGGTGAGTTAAACCTTTAGCATCCTCAGTATTTAACACCGATTTTAGTGCGCTCGCAACCTCCGTCTTGTTTTTACTCTTTAAGGGTCTTACTTGCATATAACGACTAAACACATCTACACACACGAGCAAATAGTTGGTTTTATCGTTTTGTCTTGATAAGTTTCGCATGTCTGCCAGATCACACGTTAAGATTTTGCGAGGTCCTATAGCCATTGTTTGGCGACGCGGGAATTTTTTGCGAGTATGTCTGTGAAGAGTGACACAAAGCATTTTTCACATCCGATTGTGTAATATTATCCTTTCCTAATTGCGTGCGAGCGGCGTCTAACAGCGCTTGTATTCCACCTAAGCTGTGGGGCTTTGTATAGTCTTCATACAAGTCCTTTAGAACTTGCATGGTTCTGTCGGTGATCACCATTGGTAGACAAGCTGATGTGGAAAATATTCACAGAGGATATTACTGCGAAACTGCAGTTTATCTGGAGTTTCACAACCGAGGTCTATGAGTAAATAACCGCGAGATTTCGAGAGAACAACCTTTTTATATAACTCCAAAAACCGCTTGGCTTCACTCTTGCCATATAACTGCCTACCGAGGCATTCTAACTGTCCGAGATCTCTCTGTTTTAGCAAAATAAAATGAGAGGTATTTAGTGAAATGTTGCGGCTGTGCTTCCCTTTCATAAATACATTTTGAACGAGGAGTACGACAGATATGTTTTCGTGTCGTCCCTTTGTAAAGATATTACTTACAATGTCATTATTAGCCGCTTCTATAAAGCAATCATCCAGTATATATAATATGCGGTCATTCGGTTTTGTCTTATGATTGATGGGATCTAAAATGTCTTTGTTAACAATAAGTTTGTCAGATAAAGAGGTTTCCTTTTCTAGCGGATGAGATTCACTCCCGCATACAATTATACAATCAAACTGTTTCTGATAGTGCACAACAATTTTTGTGGCGAGATGCGTCTTTCCCGAATTAGTGACTCCTGCAATTATTATTCTTGCGGGGTGAGCAAAGAGATCCAGCAAGTTCTCCTTAAAACAGGAGTATGGAGTACTGTGCGACATGTTGAAGGACACAAATAAAAATGACACTTAAATTTTAGACATCGCCTATTTTATTGACTACTATATACAGAAAATATTATGTACATGGGCTAAGTATAACCATTTTAAATAAAGTCATCACTATTTTCCTCTGCTTCTTCGATGAAGGGGTTCCCAGTTTGTGTTTTTCTGCGCTTTCGCGGTCTTGGGTTGCCAGATCGTTGCCTCCTGATGTTATTATTATAGTTGTGTACAACAGACGGAAAGTGAAGGTGGCGGAGATACTCTCGTTTTCTCCATAGATGGCTTAATCTTTCCTCCCTTGTTGTTGTTGTTGTCATGGTCTCGGTCTCCTCCTCCGCCTCCTCCTCCTCCTCCCCTCCTCCTCCTCTCGCTCTCGCTCGCGTCGGTTGCCACATCGCGCACGAATTCTCCCCTCGTTTCCTCCTCCCCCTCTTCGCTCTCTGCCGCTTCGGGAAGGTGTTTAATGTCTGGATGACCATATGCTAGCGATTTATAGGCATTTACATACCAACGTTTATTATCGTATAATGACAGCCCGCGCTTTTTCATTTGCGTGGTCATCATTTGACCTCCAACGTTGGTAATGCTCACCTGTTTAAAGAAATGCACTTCTTTTTCATGAAGAATGCGACGGAAATTGTCGTGTTTTAGCCTCCTCTTCTCAGCCCGACAAATTCCCTTTGCACCTGTGGATGTTTGATCGTTATTTAGGAGCAAGGAATAAGTCTTGGGCTTTAGGCAAATTGCCTCTTTTATCGGAATCTCCTCTGTTTCAGATTTTAATAATTTTGCCCTTGACAGACTGGTTGTATAATGGATGGTCATGGCTAAAATTAGAAGTGTCTATCCACTCTTTCAAAGGAGATAAGGACAATTCTTTATAAATGTCATCTGTCTCCACAGAGAGGATATAGCTGTCGGTGTCGGAGTAACAGAGCCGCACACGATCTCCGTAATGAGTCTTTAAAACTTTATAATAAAAGTTATACAATTTCAATTTAGCCAGCTCCAAGATGGTAAAAGCTGCACACGATCNTGGGCTTTAGGCAAATTGCCTCTTTTATCGGAATCTCCCCTGTTCAGATTTTAATAATCCAAGTTTGCCCTTGACAGACTGGTTGTATAATGGATGGTCATGGCTAAAATTAGAAGTGTCTATCCACTCTTTCAAAGGAGATAAGGACAATTCTTTATAAATGTCATCTGTCTCCACAGAGAGGATATAGCTGTCGGTGTCGTAGTAACAGAGCTGCACACGATCTCCGTAATGAGTCTTTAAAACTTTATAATAAAAGTTATACAATTTCAATTTAGCCAGCTCCAAGATGGTAAATCCAACATACTGCGGATAAGCCATACTAACAGTTTTTGCCCTTGAAATGGTTATCACTCTGTTTGGAGCTAAGGGGATGAATCTTTTGAAGAATGGGCTTCGAATCTTTTTGAGAAAAGAAGAAGCATTGCACACCATGCTAGCACGTTCTAGTCTTTTTAGAGGGTTCATTAAAGCCCAAAGACACTGTTTGAAAGCGTCTTGAAGCACAACTGTTGTGCTTTATCGGTGGCTTCCCTGCGCGCCTTAATATTTTCGTGAATAAAAGGCGATAAAAATTCACGTTGGGAGAATTCGTACACATCGCTTACTCGCTCCACCTCCACCCCCAAGTCAATTAAAAGCTGCAAATGTTTCAGTAAAATGAGGTGGTCCTTCTGCGGAAGATGTGAAGCCACAAGCTTTTGGTTTTTGCGTGGTAAACGCCTGTTCTGCGATGCTAGAAGTTGTTTGTTATAAGGGGAAATGTCCTGATTTCTTATGTTCATGTGATGAATGAGGAGGGGCAAGTCGTCTGTCTTCCTCGCAACTTCGGGTGGAACTCTGAGATCAGCCACTACCCAGTGCCCAACATCACCGCTTTCGTCGTGGTTGGTTAACCCCGATGCAATGAACTCGGACTTTTCACGGGGCGGTAATTTCCGGATATTGCCGTATGGTAATTTCTCAGACATTACCGTGGCATACAAGCTGTTGAAATCAAGGTAAAGTATGTAGGTGCTACTTTCCTTTTGTGGGTCATGGTGCGGATTAACAAGGGAGTTCTTTGCTACCGTGAGAGGGCGAACACATGTTGTCAGTCCCCCTCTCACAGATTGCTCATTTTGCGGGCTAATTCTGGATCGGATATAAGCTCAAGGTTTGTTTTTGTCATTTTTAGGAATGCATCGTATGCATATCCGGGAAGACTGACATAGTTAACTATCCAGATCGTACTTTTCAGCAAGCATAGACCTCCACTCTGTAATCACATCGGCTAGCAAACCCACATCAGTCCTCAGGTAGCACTCTAAATAATCACCTAAAGTACGACACCCGGCTGCATTCCAGACTTTTAGTGCATGAGCATACTCCTCCCGTAACCGTCTCACCTGTGAGGGAGCTATAAAACTTTTCAATAGGGGGGAGGCTGGTCTCTTCGAGCTTTTTCAGGTCATCCAAGTACTCATACGGAAAAATACCCTTTCCCGTTAGAAGCAGCGACTGAGCTTCGTCTGGCAAATGACGTAAGATATGCTTGGAATACCTGAGTGAGCGGCTGCTTTCAATATGAGTTTTGGCGAGAGAGCTTAGGCTTGCGTTCATAAAAGCTAAGCTATCGAGGAATTTCAGGTTGTTTAGTTCCACAGAGTGATATCGAAGCCCTTGCTTCGTAAGAATTTTGATTTTTGTGTTAACTTGCATTTCTTTCAGAATGAGCCCGAGTCGTAAGAGTGATTATGAGCCAGACAGGGGATAGCTGTGCGATGATTTTTCATCTGGAGGTTACAGCGAGCGCAATAAGCACCAATGTAGTTCATCCGATCTTTAGTATGGTCGTGGTGTCTGTGCTTTTGTTGATGTGTGGGAAATTTTTGGTTGCACATTTCGCACATTTCGGCCTTCTTAAAAGCTTCTTCATCTTCGTTGGACATGTGGAGAGGATGATAAGGCATGTTTTTTACAATGTCCGCCCATTTGTTAGACAGATTCTCAACAAAGTGCGTGGCAGCGTCGGCACCCTGATATAGAAAACTATCTACTACTTCACCTTGTCTGTCTATTATGATATAGCTGTAGGCACAGGCTTTGTGCTGTGCTATACATCTCTCCCTCCACCAGTCTTGTCCATGAAGGCTTCAAAGTCGTAGATACACATGTGTGATGGTGCAAATGCTTTCCCATAATTCACGAAGGCGAGTTTACTCCCCTGCAACGGGTAAGTGATCTTTGTTGGCATCTCACATCTGACATGTGAGATTCGGCTGATCTCTGATCGGGAAACGAAGAGAAACATGTGCGACAAAAGTGCTTGTGAACGTTCCTGCCTCTCATGGTAAATACGTCCATGTACTTATTAAAGTCTGTTATTAGACAGGCGTGCTCATTTTTAAGAAGAAGTAGGTGAAGACGCAGTCGCTCCTTGATGTCTTCTCTTCCTTTTCTCACCTGTAATATGGCATATTTTTCGTGAAATATGTTCGTTTTTTCAAGGGTATAGACATAAATAGAGAGACTATTGTCTCTCTCTAATTCTCCCAATGTTTCCCAGCTGGTGGGGAGTTTTTCCGCGTCATGTTTAATAAGGCGCGCACATTTAGCCGGAGTGTTGACTGCTCTGTGTAGATTATTTTTTGAGCGTCCAGCTGCTAGCCATTTTCCGGCCGCGAGGGATCGTATGACACAGTCTGTGTTACCTGTTGGGTTGAAGATATAATGACCCCCTCGAACATCTTCAGGATATGCCACATGTCGTCCAATTGCTTGGGGAACTAGAAGATGTGATATCGTAATGTCGTGAGCATTAATGGATTCAAGATCGAGTCCGCTTCCCTCATCTGATAACCACTCTTCTAGTTTAGCTTCTGCTTCCTCTGCCCATCCGCATACAGCTCTTCTACACTCGTCTTCGCTAGATATTGCATAACTGCACAGTGTGATATCTTTTTCAATATGCGTGACATTGCCGGTAGTGAAGTCTATCTTGGAGAGGGTAATATTAAACCCTGTAAATGATTTCGTGGAAGGGGGAGGGCATCCGAGTGTGGAGCGGTGAATTTGTAAGACATCTGTAAAATAATCTTGATTTCTGCGCAGGTAATCAGACGGAGATGGCTGGTCTTGGTTAGGAATGCTGAAGCCGAGCCTTACGGCTGCCCCTTGAAATAATTCCCCCCTGGAGATAATATGCGGCGTCTCTACAATATTATCTTTCTTCTTCTTTATCACTAATAACATCACTGTCACTTTCATAATATTTTCTATTCACACGAGCACGCGATATT